ATCATGTACCAATAGGTTAGTGAAGCTAACACTCATTAATAACTCTCAAAATTAAATTAAAATTGGCATCGTCCCTTGCAGAGGAACTATCCACTAATTACAAACTTTATTAATTGAAGAAAAGAAAAGTAAACACAAATGCCCCTAGATTCAATTTCGTTATCTCCACTGTTTCTTTACTACTAGCAAAACTCAATAAAATCAAGTTAGCCGTCAATAGAAACAATTCATGCTGTGAATGCAGCCGCCAGTACATCGTCGAGAAACCTATTTTTGACTCCATCAACTGTTGAAACTGCTAGTTGTCAAATTATACAACTCGAAGTTCTACTCAGCCAAAATGAAGGTACTGTTTTCAATGTGGACATCAAAATGTAACGGAACTGTCCGAAATGCGGTGTTGTAGGAAACGAGACTGATTTAGTCGCGAACCGAGATGTGAATCCCAAAGAATTGTCATCGGTCTCAGCTTCAGATTGATTATGTAGTGCATATCGTTATCGGTGACGAGCGACCGTACCTCAACCATATTTGGGCGGCCATTTTTAGGGTTAGATTCTAAAGCGTCCGCTACCACAGTAGCAAACCAAATGAACAGAACTTAATTTGCTCCTCACACCATGCAAGAATATTGCATGTACTTATTATAATAAACTTACCTGTTTTTTAATGTTATGAATTATCTATCATTACAAGGTAAATTAAATATTGGCAACGCTATTGTTGTACCTGTTGTATCCCACACATTAATTCTTGATAATTTCCCGAAAATCCTGAATCCCTCCAGCAAATAGCTTCAATAACATCGAGAGGACACTTGACTTTTGATCAGAAGTTACAATTATTACTAGACAACCTCATATCTAATATTTATGGATATGCCGGAAGAATTAGGACGTAAGTCTTTGGTCCAGCATACCATTAGAACCAATGATGAGCCAATCAAGCAACGTTTGTACCCTATATCACCGGGGTTGCTGAAGATCATCAATTGAATATGTGTGACCATCAAACAGTCCGTGTTCATCACCGATCGTTATGGTCAAGAAAATGGGCGAAAGCTGCCGCTTTTGAATCGATTACTGGTAAATAAGGTCACCGCGCATGATGCTTTTCCCCTGCCTTCTGTGTCACATATATTGGACAAGTTGAGAGATGCCAAGTATTTGACTTCCACGGATATTAAAAGCGTTTATTGCCAAGTTCCAGTGGAAGAGAGTTCGCGACGTGTAACTTATTTAACATTGCCGTCTACTTTTTGAATTCTGCAAGATGGCCTTTAGTTTACATTACGGAAAGATTAATCGATGTCAAAAGTTTCAACACTTAATTAAAGACGGGGGCGTACAGTAAGTAAATAAACAAATAAATAGATAGAACTAAACCCAATTATATCAACGGGCGTCTCAGTTAGATACGAAATTTATCACAGTCCAATAATGGCAGTTATATCACAGTTTTATCACAGTCTAGCGTAATCTACTCTATTGTCGGATTACCATCCTGATGGGCATCCTAGACCCTTTCCGCCGCCCTGATATCTTCATGCTATCGTCCACGGCACGTAGCCATCTTCCGCACATATGACGCACCTCTTTTTATTCTCGCACTTATCTTTAAAATGTCCCCCCTGTCAGCACTTCAGAGATTTATGTTTGTAGACATACGCTGATACACCCTCGGTTTTTATCGCACTTATTCACTTCCATTTTTTCCTTATGAAAAGCGTAAGTGGCCCACCCACAGTCGATCACACTATCCATAATACTTGTTTTTTGGTATCGACAGTGCTGTGGCCCTCTGCCCTTTCTCAGTTTCCCTTATTTCGGAGAACTCCTCCGCGTCCGCTGCGTCGCTGCACAGAACTGTCGGCACTGCCTCCCTGATCTCTCCTTTGTTGGTGATTTCGTCTATTTCCCGGATATAGCATCCCGCCCTCGTCCCCCTCGGATCCTGCACTGGGCCCCAGTTCTTTCTTCAGCGTATCTTGCCAAGCCGTCGTGCTGCGTTTCTGTTGTTCTCTTGTTTCAATTGTCCCGGTACTGTAATGCTACCAACTTTACGGTATAATTTTAACATCATTCACCGAAAGGATAAAGACAACATTGTACCTGATACATTATCCAGAAGTGGGTACATCTCTTGGATATCGAGGATGATCGAACGAATCAGAAAAGATCCCCTCAAGTATCCATCCAGAGAGAATTTCTCAGGGTAGCCTTGACTTAATTTATTTGGGCAACCCATTTGCAATGTGTTTGATTGCATATTAAGATTGGTGAAAAATGTATTTCTCTCGGTAAACAGATGGACGAAGGTTGACCTTATGTGGGATTTTATTTATTGCTGATTTGTTTCTTATTCCAGTACAGGTTTTAATGTAGTATGTAGAGGAATCTAGTGTCGTGTTTAGTGGGCAACACTAAGTAATGCTATGTGTGGTCGATGAATTTATTTACAATATGTACAAGATGGTACCCTGGCGATTTTTGGCAATGGAAAAAATGAAATCAAGAGAATTTTGAAGCCGTGTTTGAAAGGTTTCCAAGTCAACCCGAAAAATGTTGAAACGTTTATGGGAGATCTTCCAAACTACCGGGTGGAACCAATACTCCCATTCTTCCATACTGCAGTGGATTATGGACGCTCCATAGCAACTAAGGCAATCCATTTGGAATTGGTGACGGATTTGACATCTGCCACATTCATTGCTTGTTCGCCGCGCTTCATTAGTCGTCATTAGGCATCGAATGGAACATCATTCCTCCACGAGCAAGCCATTTTAGTAGCGAATGGCATCAAGTCAATGAAATTTCATTACAAGCGCATGGCTGGAAATGCAATACCTTGCATATGGAGAGACCTTGACATTGTTGGTTCAAATTGAAAGTATCCTAAATCCAAGGCCAGTCAATACGATGTCCAAAAATCCAAATTCCAATTTTAATCCTTTGACCCCAACACATTTGGAAGCGATTCTCGCAAGAATATGTAACATCGCTGCAGCAAAAATCGAAATGGTTCAAGACAAAACCAAAGATTATTCTCGGAATGCTGTGACGTATTACGGGTATTGACCATGGCAATAATGGAATTGTTAGAATGGTTACAATTAAGACAGCTAACGAGACACTCAAAAAATGTGCATCCCGCCCATCGAAGATGAAGTCTTCAAATAAATGAAGTTTCACAGATTGGAAAATGATTGGAAAAACACTCTAAAAAATATAAAATTTGATCATATACAAATTAATTTATACCGGGTGCTCATTATGTATGGAATATACAGGGTGTAGCATCTAAGACCCCTCAGATCATAATTCCTTTACTATAAAAGATACCGAAAAAGTCTTAGAGCAAAATTGTACCGCCGGCATGTTTCTAAAAGAACACCAGAGACGTGCTTTATTCCAGTGGCGTATCAAACTTGCATTTTTTTAAATGGAACACTCCATATTTTATTACTGATTTGTAGAGTACTTAAAAAGTGCTTTTTTGTTGGCGTCATGAGTGTACGCTGGGAGATATCCTGGAAATTTTTACAAAATATGACATTTGGCGAAGGTCAATCAAAAATTTAATTTCTTTTTTAAAGTACCTAAAAAAATTATATGACTGTGGAAGAGGTCTTAACCTGTGCTTTAGTCCAAAACTTAGCCCCCTGCGCGATGCAGTTTCTCTCAACAAACAAATTTCGAAAAACTGTAAAATTTTGACGAAAAAAGGTTATAACAGCGAAATCGTTAGTTAGGGGTATAACATGTTACATAAAAAAATAAGTGCTTTTCAAGGACGTTCCAAATCAGTAATAAAATATGAGGTGTTCCATTTTAAAAAAAACGCAAGTAGAATACAGCACGCCCCTGGTGACCAAAAATATTTAGAAATATGGCGACGGTCAATGTGTACAATTTTGCTCTAGGGCTTTCTTCGGTATCTTTTATGGAAAATGAATTATGATCCGAAGGGTCTTAGGTGCTACACCCTGTATATCTTGATAAATATCAACTGTATAAAAATTTTTCTGTATGAAAGTTGTTAACATTTTATTTCCCTTAATAAGGCAGCATTCAGTTGTTCTAATTTCAGAAAACAAATGAGCAACGAAAAACAATTGAATTTTTTTAAAATAGCAATGTACCCTTTCATTACGTTCATTTGATAGAGATTTTTTTCTCTTTTCGATGACGTAACATGTTATACCCTTATACAAGAAAATTTATTAAAACAAAATTATTAATTACATCAATAACATTAAACTAGATATCCTACATCAAAATAAAACAAATGAACGTACACGTTTCTTGAAGACATTCATTTCGTCTTCAAGGTTTAATAAGAAACGTACACGTTCATTTGTTTTATTTTCATGTAGGATATATGTATTTTATTGTTATCGGTGTAATTATAGTAAATGTTTTTGAAAAATTTCCTTTTATTAGGGTACTACCATGTTACACCATCGAAAAGAGAAAAAAAATCTCTATCAAATGAGCCTAATGAAAAGATGCACTGCCATATAAAATTAAATGGTTTTTCGTCACTCGTTTATTTTCTGAATTAAAAACAACTGAATGCTGCCTTATTATGGGACATAAAATGTTAAACAATTTTAATATAGAAAAATTTTGCATATATACATTCGATATTTACTGCGATATGTACTATATTCCATACATCATGGGCACCCTGTATATAAAGTTCACATTGAAATTTGAACCTGAACTGAAATACGTTAATAAATAAATTTCTATTTATTTGAAATTGGTAATTTCATCTAATTTGAATATAGTCCATTTACAAACACGTATAACAATAGAATTATTCTGAATTATGCACATTGCTCCTTCAATTAATTTATTCACTTTGTTATACATACACCCAAGTTTGAGATTAAACTTAATAGGAATAACGCATTTAAATAAAATGTGTTAAAAAAAACCAAAATGCACCATAAAGATAAAATAAAATTATATTTTCTAACAGGCCTTTATTTTCAGGAAGAAACTCGAGAAAATGTAACAATAAGCGAATTAAGTTTCGTACCAACAACGGAAGATGATGGAAAATCCATAACTTGTAGGGCGGAAAACCCCAACGTTACCGGCCTTTTTCTTGAAACATCGTGGAAGATCGACGTTGTTTGTAAGTGTAAAATAAACTTTAACATTTATGCAGCCACTATAACCTCTTAATATTACTAACATTTACCGTGGATGGCATTAAACGAGTTATTTATTGCGCAGTATCCTACTGCTAATACAAAATAACCCGTTTCTGTTAGCTTTGAGTTTTATAGATATTGGCAAGCTAACCACCTCGGAATACCTATAGCGCGTTTACGGTGTTATTGTTATCATTATTATTATTATAGATGCCGGGGATACCAACAGCTACCAAAATAACCTTGTATTAACGAGTATAATTTCATTTTTTACACCTCTTCTTCCGTACTTACACAATTTTCTGTCAGTTTACTAGGGCGTAATCAATTTATGGCTTACTCAAAATCTTTTTACACTTTCTTTTTTTTGTATGGCGTCTTTTATTGCCGTTCTTACCATGAAATTTTAATTACATTCGCACAAGGGGTGACTTTTTATTTACTTTGACATAAAAAGAAGTGAAGGCAATTAATTTATATAGAGGCGGGTTATTCAGTAAGTCGACGTTCTTCATGCTTTGTAAGACACTAAGATCATAAATGCAAGACCACCGTCGTCTTTGGCCGTGACACGTTGCGACGCCGCAATTAAAGCGTTATCTTACGAATGTAATGGGGTTAAAGAACAGGGGTCGTTACAAAAATTATGTTTGAAATTGTGAATAACCTGGCGTATTCATTTAGAAACGTTTCGCGTTAAAGCAAATTTCCATAATTACTGTATGGGGTAAGTAAATAAAAAAAATTCACAAAGGTCCGCAATTTCAAAGGCTTTTTTTTTGTAAGGTTGGTAGGTAATTTCAAAGCAATTTGTTTGAATTAAATTTGAAACTTAATTAACCATTCGCCATTAAGGAATCCGATTAAGTATAAATGGACATTCAATTTTCCTCTTTTCGAATAGTAACTGCATAAAAAAGAATGCTTTATTCCCGCTATTACACAAATTGCTCGAGCTGTAACTGTTACATAAAAGTCCACTCTTAATCTGGAAGCGAGTTGATTAATGTCAGATGTTGCTGTGAAAATTTAAACCGTTCTACAATAGGAGCGTTTTCTTTCAATCTGTTCCTTTTCTGGAACTATTGTTGTGAAACAACTGACATTCGAATACACAGCAGTAGTCTATCAATGATTTATATGCTTCCTGAACTGTTTTGCTGTCAACTGACAATGGTGTATTGTTCTAGACCCCCCGATAGTGTCCTTGCGTCTCGGAAGCACGCTCAATGCTGATGACATCAAGGAAGGCGACGACGTGTACTTCGAGTGCCATGTCAAAGCCAACCCCCATTGGAGACGTCTAACCTGGTTACACGAGGTATAAAGAATCCCTTTTTAATTGTCGTTTCAATGCAGTTTACTTGCATTGAAACGAATTGAACATCCGTCAGATGCCATACTCATTGATAACGTACCTAACGGATGCCTTTCATTGCCAATAATCTAAGTATCATTGTTATAAATTCGCCCTTCTTACTAACTTTCAACATTATGTGAACGAATATGTTTCACGTAACAGCGTAGTAATCCAATTTGGTCGCTTATTTTTTTGGAAAATCGATGTACTTTCTGTGTGCAAGCGACTCCAACACTGGAACTTCTGGTGGCTGGGTCAATTTTACACCTCAACATCGCAATTTACCAGAACAATGGCCAAAAATCCCAAAAATGCAAAATATGCACTATTTTCTTTGCGTCAATGTGATTCATTTTTGTTAGTTCGTGCAAGGCACCCGGCTCGTGTGGCGCAGTTCAGTTAAAGCTGGACTTTAGTCCAGTCAACCTGTGTTTTTAGTGGGAAAAAATAGGATAAAGCTAATTTTTTCCCCATCGACTACTACCATTTAGACAAGTGTTTAGCTAAAAGTCCCCGCCCCTACCCCCCTTGCGTAAATCGCGTCTCTCTCGATTACTAAACAACATGTCGGATTGCAATTTGTTGCTATAACATTGTCTACAATAATAAGTTTCAGTTGACTTTCGTCGTAACTTTTACCGTTTGTTTGTAATTCGTATGTAAAGGTAAAAAGTGGACGTATTTTACTTTTTGTCGCAGAAATTTTCACGCTGACATTTTATCAAAAAATGTTACCTACAAAAGTTATAGCTGCCATTATTACCTTGAAAATGATATGAAATAGTACTTACTTTGTTGAACAGCCTGCGAGATTTAGCCGGTGTAATGCAGAATGCGTACCCAGTCGTGGCGGTTCCGTCGAGATGGGACCGGCGCAGCGGCGCGGCGTTGCAATGCTAATATTGTTGTATAGTGAGTGTTTTTTTTAACTTTAAGGTACACTATTGCATATTCTCTAAACAAAACCAAACGAGTCTCAGTGAAACCTAAATTCCACCCCTTTTAAATTTGTGTCTAATAATGGGTTATTCAACAACTGGTCCTTTTTTAAAATGTAAATGAAACACATTACATTGGATACAATGATGAAATCTTTATTATCGTTTGAAAGAACATTTTTTGCCATTAATTTTTTGAAAATGATCATGAAAAGCTTGGGCGTAGCTACGTTGTAGATGACCCATTTTTTAAGCCCAATCCCTTTCAAGCGTTTCGACCGGAATCTCACGAATAACACGCACAATGTTTGCTTCCAATGCTTCAATCGTTGTCGGTTTATCGGCAAAGACTTTTGATTTGACGTAGCCCCAAAGGAAAAAATCCAATGGCGTAATATCGCACGATCTAGGCGGACAACTCACCGGTCAAAAACGCGAAATCATCTGCTCTTCGAAATGACCTCTCAAAATATCCATTGTTTCACGAGCTGTATGGCAAGTGGCACCGTCTTGTTGAAACCAAATGTTGTGGAGATCACGGGCTTCAATTTCAGGTAGCAAAAAGTCCAATATCATGGCGCGATAGCGAGCACCATTCATAGTTACGTTCCGGCCATCATCACTTTTGAAAAAATAAGGACCGATGACTCCACCAGCCCATAAACCACACCAAACCGTTGTATTCGCTAAGTGTAACGGTAGCACTCGAAACTCTTCGGGTTGATGAAAAACAGGCAGACAAAAATATTCTCAAAGAGGTAGGAGAGGTTTTTTTCTTGAAACAAATATGGATGCACAAGGTCTGCATGTTTGAATGACAGTAGATATTCAATGTAACTTAAAGCTGTTGCAAAAATGTCATTAAAATCCAAATTTAACATCCCAACCAACAGTTTTCCATTAAGCACTGTCTACAGTTAAATCCAACCAAATGCATGGCGATATTGTTTTGTAAAAAAACCGATCGACTCAAGTCTTTGAATGACATCAAGGTAACTTGTTGTGGGACTCTGATACCACTAGCGGACACGGTTAGGAATCTTGGTGTTGATATTGACTCCGCCCTAAGATTTACACCACACATCTCATCTTGTCTTAGAAAATCTTATGCTGAACGATATATCATATGCGGAATTGCTTGGATCGGTCTACTTGTGTGCTTCTCTGCTCCTCTTTGGTTTTGTCACAATTTGACCACGCAGATGTAGTATATGGTCCTTGTTTAACTAGTTTTGATAACAAACGTGTGCAAAAAGTACAAAATAGTTGTGTGAGATTGATTTTCGGAATGAGGAAATATGATCATGTAAGTCACAAGTTGATCGATCTAAAATGGTTAAATATGCATAATAGGAGAGCTGGACATGCTGCTAGCACGTATTATAAAATTTTAGTTAATAATCAACCCACCTATTTATACCGCAGATTAAAATACAGAACTGATGTACATACGCTAAATTTGAGAAACAAAGGTTTGCTTACACCTCCCTCGCACGCCACAGCTATGTATGAAAGATCTTTTACCTACAACATCAGCAAATGGTATAATTCCCTAGCTATGGACATCAAAAGCATGCCTTACAAAACATTTAGATTAGCTACCATGTCGAGGTTATTGCACGAACAATCTTCTTCTCAATGATATTTTACAATTTAATTTGAGGTTTTTTTTTGCTAGATATATTATTTTTATTTTTTTTTGTATTTTCTGTTAATGAACGGAATCACATGGGTTAGATGGAAGAGCAGAAATGGTATGTACATATGTTTCATTCCATTACTGAATCTCGCCCTTTGTACACATTTCTATGTAATTTAACCTATAGGTACTTATTAAAGATATTTATTATTATTATTATCCTTCTCTCCAACATTTGGTGCTGCTGAACAACACGCTTATCGAGATTCAAAATGGATCCTGCACCTGCAAAAAGGCTTGCAAAAGTAATTACAGGTGCTTTAAAGCATCTCTTGATTACACAGAAATGTGTGGGAGCTGTGGCGGATCATGAATAATCTGAAAATATTTTTTACTTCAAATTAAGATACCGCAAATAGTTTGTTCTAAAATAACATAAACAAAATATTACATGCATTATTACATTTACCCGAAATCGTATGTGCAATCCGATATGTTGTTTAGTAAGCGAGAGAGACGCGATTTACGAAACCCCTACACTTGTCATGTTTAGGGGGGCACAGGGGGGAAGTAAGGGGGGTAGGGGCGGGGACTTTTGGCTACACACTTGTCTAAATGGTAGTAGTGGATGGGGAAAAATTAGCTTTATACTATTTTTTTCCTTCAACTGGTGTTTTACGAGACAGGTTGACTGGACTAACTGTGGTGCTGAGGGTCCCTGGTTCGAATCCGAGTTCGGGAATGGATATTTGTAAATGTATAGTGGGTTGAGTTGGTAGAGCAGTCTTTGCTGAAACTTCGCCCACTCAAAAATAAAGGCGAAATAGAATAAAAAAATAAAATAAATTATTCTTTTATTTTGAGCTGCATACAATATTTACGTAATGCATAAAAGCATGAAATCAGGTCTCTAGATATGACTGCTAAAAAATAAATTACATATTTAACAAATAATAATTATATGGATGCAGTATTTCATTAAATAATTGATCCTACCTAGAATGAGGTGCCAGAAAAAAATGTCATGCATCAAGAATTTGATTAATATTGATTATATTTACACGAATAACGCCAATAATATCAATAAACATATTTGGTTGCCTTTTGCAATTGAAATACTAACAATTCCTATTATCCGATATATAGATATAGAAAAGAGAGAAGCTCCGATGCTTATTTAAACGCACTCTCTAGTATTCTACTATAAAAGAAGGTAAGTAAGTTATCAAAATCTCGTAATATGACCTGCTTCACCTGGTGTACATTTCTTTATGTGCCTGGTGATAATGTCCTCGCAGAAAACTTTACTAGGGTGACGAAAACTTCATTCTTCGAAATGGTCAAACGTACTGTGGCGACCGAGGTCCGTCCCGCCACTGACAAAACTCATCGCCTGATTGGTCAAATCGATTCACCACTAGCGACGGATTTCGACCATTTAAATACGGATTGACGCGCTCCAAGAATCCAGTCGTCGAACGTCGTTCATGCAGACAACACGTCATAGTCAGTACTGTGCTCACGTTCCATTGTTCCTTCCGTTCCTTGTGCACGAAGAACCTATCCAAACCCGCTATCCGAGCCAACCGCTTTCGCCAAGATTTAATATCAGATACGACAAACAGTAAGTTTTTGCACCCTTTCCTTCCGTTCCGTCCTGTGCATCCCAAAGTGTTAAACCAACTGCCGTCCACATATCAACCTTTACCGACCACAACCCAAAAGAGGTGGCCCTTGAGCCACCTCCTATGAGCGTAGCGATGGCTCCCGTGCCACCAGATGAAGACCAGCCAGACCTATCCGATCTCACTGCACAACAGATGATAGAAGCGCATAACTTTGCCGAGACGCACCCAACAATAAAATTAATTATCAAACGCCATAACACCGCGATCGCGCGACTAAACGACTACACCTTAAAAATTGACCAGTTAATGAAAACCTGCGCTAAGCAGGCAGAGGTAATAGACACCCTAAACAGAAAAGTGGAATCCTCCCTTGCCGAAAATAATGACATCCGAAAACGGAAATGTAAAAAGCCCGAAAGTCCTCAGGAATTCCCGCCTCTTCCCACCGCAAACCGTTACAACGCTCTCGCCACAAACGCCGACGACGAAATGGTGGTAGACCTCGCGCCGCAAACACGGCTACCTAGGCCCGGTCCCCCAAATAAAAATAGTATAACCAATATCTGTCTAAAACCCCAAAGTAAAACCACCCAAAACACCTCCAATAAAATGCCACCTATCTGCATCAAGACGGAGACACTTGATGAATCGTACACTTCCCTAATAAGGAAAATCAAAAATAATACAGGGTGCCAAAACTTTACCCTATCCCACCAAAACAGGTACACAAAAATTTTCACTCAAAACCTACAAGAT